GAGGGAAAGAGGGAGGATGAGCGCGTCCAGGTTCATAAAGTGCGTCACCGTGGGGGACGGCGCCGTCGGCAAGACTTGCATGCTCATCTCCTACACCTCCAACACCTTCCCCACCGTACGTCCCTCTCTCTCCTCCTTTCTTTTCTTATTACTGCTTGTTCTTGGGTAATGCCAGGTTGCTTCTTGTTCTTGTTCTTGTTCTTGTAGAGGCGGACAAATGTTGCTGCTTGCGCCTTTTATGCCGGATTGGTTGATTGATTCTTTTTGTGTGTGTGTTCCTAATTAGGGGGTGGGGGAGGCGGAGGCTGGTTCTTGATCTAGATTTGGGCCGGCTTTCTGCGCTCGATTCGCCCCCCGGTGGCTCCTAATTTGGGCACAATGCGGTCGCCAATTTCGATCTTTTCTCGTCTAGGGTTGCCGGTCCTCCTCAGCGAAATGGGGATATTTTCTTCTGATACCCCCAAATCAGCCCCAAATTAGGATTTATTCTGTACGGGAAATTTTCGCTGTCGATTTCGTTACCATTCAGTAGGAACGGCAACATTTGCAGGGGAAAAAAGATAGTAGGGGGATTTCGTCGGCTCGTGATTTCGTACCAATTTGGCTCCACTTCCAGCCGGCAATGTGGGGGCTGCGGATCCGTTTCAAACAGCCGGAGATCGCTTTCCAGCCTTTCCTTTTAGCCGAGTAGCGGGGTAGTACCCTACCTCGACCACTCACACCTTCCGTATGGTTGGTGGGTGCCATTCTTTGTTTCTTTCACGCAAATCCACACACCAATTGCAGCACCTACCTTTTCACGCATGCTTCGTTTTCAAACGAAAGATTTCTTTTTACTCTCTCTCGAGGAGAGGAGAGGAAGAAAGAAACCTTGGAGACAAGACAAGATAATACCACCACCCATGATGGGGTTACTCTGCTTTGTGAGGGTAGATTAGCTTGGAGCCCTGGGTCATGGTGACCACGTAGTAGTGGTAGCAGCAGCAGTAGAATATCCAGTTGGACCACCCACCTACATGGGGTCTGGTGTTTGTGCCATCTTGGTATGCTTATCTTCAGGCATGGCTACATGAGTGGAAGAATTTAATTCACCTCGCTGTCGTCCGTCGACGGCCATGTGGCTGCATCTAGAACTTGGAAGAAAGAATTTGGCTGCACTTGTTGTTAATTCACTCCGACGGCCATGTGGCTGTTTCTTGGACTTGGAAGAAAGAATTTAGCTGCACTTGCTGTTTATCTTACTACTACTGTTGTTCTTGGCAGGACTATGTGCCCACGGTGTTTGACAACTTCAGTGCTAATGTTGTGGTTGATGGCAACACTGTCAACCTCGGGCTATGGGATACTGCAGGTAACTGGCTCTTCTTTCTCTCTTGGTTTGTGATGGTTACATGTTTGTTCTGTCTGCTTGGTCTTGTTTTTGGTGCCAAGTTGTAAAAGTTTCTTCTTTGGAACTGCAACAGGTCAGGAGGACTACAACAGACTGAGACCGCTGAGTTATCGTGGAGCTGATGTCTTCCTTCTGGCCTTCTCGCTTATCAGCAAGGCCAGCTATGAGAATGTTTCAAAGAAGGTAACAGTCTGGTTCTTATTATCTCTTTATATTCAAATAAATTTGCTCTGTGCTTTCCTGGTTCCAGAAGTTCTCTGCAGAAGTTCATTTCACCATCATTTCTATGCATCAGTTATCTGATAACATTTTTTGTGTTTCTGGCATGTATGTCATGTTTGATGAGTGGTTTCTTTTCTTCAGTGGGAAATTATTCCATGCTAGAAATAGGCTTTAATGCACTCTCGAATGGTTTTTCCAGTAGTCTCCTATTCATCAGAGCTGATATAGTTTCCCCTAATTTCTGTTCCTTGGTCATTATCTTGACTTATGTTAATTTGTTCTCATTATTTTTATGGTTATACATAAATGCTCAACCTATGCATTTCCTGAACCTGAATTCCGTTTTTGTTTCAGTGGATACCTGAGCTGAAGCATTATGCACCAGGTGTGCCTATTATCCTCGTGGGAACAAAGCTTGGTAAGAATGTACATGGCCACATTGTTTTTCAGAAATCTGATATCCTGTTGTGTTCACGACGGAAGTGACGTTGGGTTTCTAGGCACATAGGTCTTTGTAAAGTTATTCACAGTAACGTGCAATGGCAGTCACACACTACAAGTGAAAGCAGGGGATGCTATCCAGATGAAAATAAATGAGAAAAAAACCCTTGAATCTAAGCTTCTGTGAACCTCATAGTATTTCACCACTGCTTTCTGTGCTTGAGAATATTGGTATATACCTAGATGAATTGTTGGCTGTTTAGTTCTTCGTGCTTGTGTTCTTTACCCATGAACCTTTGATGGTTTAGACTGTCAGTTGTATTCCATTTTCACTTTGTACATTGCCCTGGCAGATCTTCGAGATGACAAGCAGTTCTTTGTGGACCATCCTGGTGCTGTTCCTATCACTACTGCTCAGGTATGGATGCATTACATCACGACTTGATCTTTTTTTCCTTGACTTGTTGTCTTTCTTGCTCTTTCCCTTGAAGGAGGCGATGCTGTGTTACTAACTTTAGATGCCAAATTCTGTAGGGGGAGGAACTAAAAAAGTTAATAGGCGCACCCTACTACATCGAATGCAGCTCGAAGACCCAACTAGTATAGCTATCTTCTTACATGTTTGCTTATTGCATAATGCAATGTGAGATGCTGACAGAGTTTTTTTTTTCTGGTCCTTGTCGATTTTCAGAATGTCAAGGGTGTATTTGATGCGGCAATAAAGGTGGTACTTGCGCCACCAAAGGCGAAGAAGAAGAAAAAGGCGCAGAGGGGGGCTTGCTCCATCTTGTGATCTAATCATCGGTAGACAAAGAACAAGGGCGAAGTTGCCGCCATGCTATATTATTGTTACGTCTTGCTTCAGCGGAGCTGCACTCTCATGGTCGTCGTCCCTCCCCCCTACCCCACCCTAGGTTACCCACCGGCAGCTGCAGCAAGGTCTCTTTGTCGAGGCATCGGGCGATCCATTTGTTTGATTTCTCTTCTTCCTGCCTTGTGATTATCTCGTGTGACTGACAAGTCGTGGCAATTTAGGTAACTTGCTTAGTAGACGGTATTTCCCGTGTTTGAGACCCCGTAAAAAAAAAGTATCTCGTTGTTATCTCGGTTCCATAAGTAGAGACATGATGTAATCGCACTCAGTTTATTTTATTTTTGCTTGTTATTTTCACTTCAATGGAAAATTATGTTTCCTTTCTTGTTATGGTATCTATTCCTGCATTTAGAAGATGCATCCTACCCTATGAATTGTGATTCGGTTTTGTTTCGCCCGGCGTATGATTGCTGGCAAATGGAGCATGTGCAGTGCCTTGACCTGCCTGTTTTGATACTCACAGCTAGCACTTGTGGGTTGTGGCATATAATTGGATATCATGGAGAGCATGTTGGCAGCAGGGTATGTTTTGTATGATATTGCTATTGGCCTATGGTATCTGCTGCAATAGGATATTGTTGATATGTATCTGGCTGGGTACAATATCTGCCAGTCAGACAGGCAACTACTTCTATTTATTTTAGTACTTGGATACACATGCCATTGTGTGTCAATGGGGTACTAAATCTTTTGGGTGGATATGGTCTTGTTTGTTGGCCACCACATGCCAGAAGCATTGCAACGCCGCCTGTCTGAATCAGTTCAGAAGATGGCCAGCCAACTGAATTTGTCTGACGCTGTAACTCAAACAGGGTTATTGCTTTAGAACGATTGGTTATTTGTGGCTGCATTTCAGTCAGTTGGATCAAGGAGGAGGGCGAACTAGAGTTACAATTTAATTTTATTGGAAAACGGTCTATTTCACCAGACTGATTTTCTGTGCTGCATCAACCACCTTGATCGCACCTCACCTATCCCTTGGCGGCTAGGGCAAACTCACCCCTCCAGGCTTCGCCGGCGAGTCCGTGGATTCGCCTCCCCTCTGCTTGCCGTCCCGGTGGCTGATGACGGGGAGGAGAATTCCGGTGCCTCCGCTCCAATTAGTAGTTTATTAGGTTAAGATTTTTCAGTCCTTGCAGCTGCGTCGCTCAAGCAGATGGCGGCGCTTCTTCTTCAACTTTGTCTTCCAGGTTCCGATCCTTCTTGAGTTTCTCCTTCTGGATGTAGTCAACAAATCTTCGGTGTAGAATCATGTCGTCTCCTTGAGACTGCGAGGTTCGGATTTCTCGTTGTGTGGCGAGATTTGCTGTCAGACGGTTCAGATTTATTCAAGGGTTCAATGGCAACGTCTGCGGCTCCAGGGCGCTGGTCCTTAGGGGCACGTGCACGAAGACTTCTTGGCTGTTATCGACAACACAAGCAAAGCCTCCCATGCCACCCCCGCCAGTAATGAACACCTCCTATCTGGCCAACGCTTACTGCTGCCCACTCAACTACAACCCATGGGGAACCTCTACCACTACTGCAAGCAGAGGAGAGCTGCACAACACCGACCACCCCGCTGCCATCAATTGTGAGGTCGACTGCCACTTCTGCAGGGGCACGCATCGCTGCTTCGAGGTGACGCTGCTGATAAGTGTTCGCCGCACCACCTCTCGAGGATGTGGCACTGCTGCAAAGGAGAGGTCGACGACGACTGGGGAAGACCACGAGGCAGCATAGATGTTGCAAGCAAGGTGGTGTTGCGAACCGGCAGCTGACGCTATGACCCTGAGCATCTCACTGACGGCAGGGGATGCTGCAAACATGTGGTATCGCGTTCCCGTGGATCTCACCGGTTGAGGGAGCTGCAGTGCAACACACGTGGTGCGTAATGCAATACGCGTGGTGCTGCCTAGTGACAGCGTAGCTGCAATGCAACACGGGTGGTGCTACGACCGATGGATCTTCTCGGCGGTGGAGCTGCAATGCAGCGGGAATATGGTGCCCTGACAGGTCCGCTGATCTCATCGGCGGGGGGGAGCTTCAATGCAGCATACTGTTTTTTGCTATGGGGGGAGATGAGTTGCTGATCTCGCTGGCCGTCATTTGCTGCAAGGTGTTGATGTAACCTGGCCGGTGCGGCAGCACGAGACGGAGGGCGACGAGTGATGGAGGGGTGGTGGGATGCAGAGACGACATGGTCAATTTCCACTGGATTGCCCACGTGTCCCAGCTGTCAAATCAGACGACAATTCCTCATCCAACGGCTCGCGAGGCGGTTTACAATTAGTTCGCGTCAGAATTTTGTTAGTATCTGGTTGGACATCAGATAGATTAAATCACGTACTGTAGAGAAAAAGAGCCGGCCATTTTGTAGGCGCATTTCAGAGGTGGAACATTTCGTTTCTTAAGATGTTATAAACTGATATCCCATATAGTATTCTGATGAGAAACTGATATCCCATATGGTATTCCGCTGTCGAGAATAAATAGATACTCCGTATATACAATCACTAATATCTCCAGCACGAGAATAGAAAATAAGGATGAAGAAAAATAAAATAAAAAGGAAACGACGCCTGAGAGATTCGAACTCTCGCGGGGAAACCCCATGTACTTAGCAGGCACACGCCTTAACCACTCGGCCAAAGCGTCGCTTGTGTCACTGCTCTGACTGCATCCTATATATTCGTTATGCGAAGGCCCATCTTAAGGCCTTAGAGTCCATAGGCCATATAAGAGAGCAGCTTCGGCCTGCATTGCCCATAGGCCGTAGAAAATGAGCGCGGCCGGCTCATCTTTTTCTGCCTATGATCTTGTAGAAAAAGAACTTCTTTTCTACGTGTGCTGGGCACCGGCTTAGTGTCGTGCCTCGTCCAGCCGAAGACAGACAAGAAGACAGGGGCTGATGGATGGCCGCGCTGTTTAGTTGGAGAGAATGGAAATATCGAAAGGTTTGAGAGAGATGCCCTTTGGTTCTCGAGTGTATATATATCTGACATAATTTTATTTTAGAAGACAAAAATTTTTAGAAGTTTTTTACAATAAACTTGACTTTTTTTTCACCAGTATATATACTTTCATGAATAAAAAACCAGCATCGACTTCAGGGCAAAAAAAATATTGCTATTATAGGTCACTACTTACATAATTTTGGCCATTTTTTTTAAAAGAAGACAACTATTTTTTTTTCTTTTTGTGGAATTTTTGTTACAAGTACAATGAAAGGTTAAGTTTATTTAAAAATGAGATTTTTTTAAACTTTTTATATAATTATTAAAAAGTTACATATAGGATGTATATGCACCAATAGACCAAACGTTCTTGTCCAGAGTTTGAGGTGCTAGTTTGGAGTCTAAATTCCCACAATTTTATTAACAAGGGAAGTGAGAGTTGGAACATAACTGGTGTAAATATCTTGAGATTTCATCATAACTTGTCCGCTAATCGTTCGTGACTTCCTGTTAACCAAACATAGGAATACCCCTCAAAGGAATACTCCTCCTTGAAATTCCCACAACTAAGAGCCTATTCTGAAGTCCTCCCGCTCCACGCTTCACAAACTCTTTGTGCGGAGCCAAGCCGACCGGAATAGCAAGCTAGCTTCGGGAAGTTGTGCTCAATCGTAGTGCAAAAACATGGAGCGAAGATGGACCAGCTCCACCGAAACAAGAATCTAGAGTTCACCCATATTACAGCCGAAGTGCCACTACCAAACATAAAGATTGTAGACACCTGCACAATATTGGTTTTTCTATTTCCTTATTGAGGTGATTGTGCTTAGAATAAACATTGGACCCTGATAAGTGTCGAATGGCAGGTAACAACACATGACAACTCTGAACATTTTTGATGGCAAGTTTAGTTATGCGAGGATGACAAGAGTTTAGTTGACAAGCATGGCAACTTCGTGCTTTAATTTATTTTTGACAAAAAAACTTGCCGTGTGTCATTAGAATTGCCATCCAAAAACGTCAGGGCCAGAGTGCCACATACCTGAAGTGTGGCACTTATCATTTAGGTAAACATTTAGTGACGTTAGCACCATTTATGCAATAACATAACTAATTTGTTTTTTTTTAAAAGGAGGAGTAGCCCCGGCCTCTACATTGAATGATGCACACAACCATTTGTTAAGGGGAACCGAGTAACAAAGTTCTGAGTAAAAGCTCCGGTAAAAGAAAAATTACAAACGGCAAATATATGACAATATGCCTAGACATATCTTATTATTAAATCGCCATTCAATCAGTTGCACGTAGCCCATGCTACCGTCTCCTCAACGGTTGCATCCATAAGCCATAAGCTCCCTCACTTCCGTATGACGTAATAATGACCACGTACGGATCCATCCAAACGCTCTGTAGGCAACCTGTATTTTTTTGAATCTTTGTTCTGTTAAACACACAACCGTTCCGACTGCCTCGAATAGCCCAAAGTAGTGTATAAACTCCCACACGCATCCGTGCCGCCGTATTGTGCTCCACCCCGCCAAACCAGGTACCAAACAAATTTGATATGCTAATATGTGGGGGTACATTAAACAACACATGTATTGTTCGCCACCGAAGCTTGGGAAGTGAACATCGAAGAAATAAGTACTGAATTGTTTCCTCGTGGCCACAGAAACAACACTGTTTATTACTTTTCCACCTACGTTTTGCCAAAATGTCCTTGGTGAGGATCATAACCTTATGCACAAACCACATGAAAATCTTAATCTCTAAAGAAGCTTTGGTTTTCTAGATATGAAGTGACCCTAGAACTAGTCCAGCATTAATCAACTTCACGTATATTGATTTAACAGAAAACACGGCTGAAACGGATAGCGTCAATCGAAATGAGTCAAATCTCATTATATAAGGTGGACTTCCATCACCCTTCGAGCTAAATGAGCATGCATCCCATCTTTCCCCAACTAGGTTCCGTCTGAACTG